GGGGGGGGGGAGAAACAGAACATTGGGAAATACCAAGGTTCCTTTTTTTAACAGCTTTAAATATTAGCGCCGTCTTAACGACACGTTTTCTGCATCTGCACAGGCACTAGCTTAGTCTCATTAGGCTTACAATTTTACTCTTTCGCAGCCTCCTAGATTCCCGTCTGCTTTCCGACGAGAGCGTTAAAAAGAAAGTACGCAGCCGCCATAAAAATCGTTCAAGCATGCGACTTTGAATTATAATGGCGTTAAACCGTTGACATCGCAGCGAAAACCGCTGATCTGGTTGTTGTGTGTGTCAGCTCACGAGCCAACTAACAGGACCACAACCACATCCCCTCTCCCCAACCTCCTCTTCCTCCCATTTGGAACTCTACATTGGTCATATCCGACCTTCAAATCAAAGCGACCACTGATAGGAGGACCCAGAGCAAAAATGTTCCAATTGCTGAGAGATGCAGCCGGTGGTCAGTGTTGTAGCGGTAAGGTTCTTTACCTTTACATACCGAAGACATGAGTTCGATTTCCGTGTTGGAAGTTGTTGTTGTTTTTTTCATGGAATTTGTCTGTCTTTCTTCAGGGACATTGTATCCCAGGCCTGTCAGCCCGTGTTGGTCTGCCTTCCTTGACATGCAAGGTGGAAGCAGCTCGCGTCCTAAATGATCTAAAGTTGTGTCGATGGGTGTGTAAAGGGCCTACCATTACCCTTAAATACATTTCATTACATTTCTGTGGCGCATAGTTTGAAGACAACGAATTGTTCTGTATTAGCCCACAACACGTTTGTTAGGTTTTTTTATTTGGTTGGTTGGTTGTTGTTTTTGTTTGTTATTTGTTGTTTATTTTTGTTGTTTGTTTTTTGTTTGTTGTTTTGTTTTGTTTGTTTTTGTTTGTTTTGTTTTTGTTGCTGTTGTTGTTGTTGGGGGGTTGTTGTTGTTTTGTTTGGTTGTGTATTTTTTTTCTTTTTTTTTTTTTTTTTTTTTGGGGGGGGGGTTTGGCAATGCGATTGAAAACCTATGAGTTTAAGCATAAAAAACAACAACAACCAAACAAAACAATTAAATGAGTTTAGCATTTTTAAAAATCAGAAATGAACTTTATTTGAATAGTCTCGTCTGCTAATGGAATATTTGTTAGAGGTTTCAGGTCAGAATAGAACTTTGTTATATGTACTTTTGAGAATGGGTCTCGGACTATCGTTTGCTCAAACATAATTTAAATGGACAGATCGGTACGAAAGAGAGTAGAGAGAAGACACCATCCGTACGAGACAGGAACATCATCGTTATCGCCTAACCAGAGAAGTTGTGACATATGAACGGCGCTCCACAACTGGGGGAGCTGCGCCGTTTGTTAATGGGACAGCTGACCGTTTCGTACTTCCCCAGTCCCCGCGTCGGGAAGCCAAAGAGGAAAATTAACTCCTTTCTCTTATATTGTCCTAATGGGACTATTTTTTGTACTCTGGGACTGTAAATCTCCGTCTGGCGAGATTTAAATGCTTCGGTCTGACGTCATCACACCAGACAGATGCCATTGCTGCAGAGATCATAACACACCTCATGGTGCGTGCACGCCGAGACGTCATAAAACCCGGACATTAGAATAGTTGTCCCCCCTTAGACGGTAGCCAGGGCCTGTTCTCCAAAGGCTGAAAGACATTTCTGGGTTTTGAAACAACTTCGGAGACAACGGCCTAACACGGTCAGTCCGTAAGTTAAAACGTACAGGCAGAGTCACATTTTCACTGTTACTCCTCCACCGACATTAAAGCTTAGAACATCCATTTTTCAATTTGCCTATAGCTGCAGATGTTTTCTAAACATGGGCTCTGATTCTCTATGGCTATTGTTTGTGGGGTTGTTAGGAATTTTAGGGGGAACTGGCTTTTGATACCGCTCGATTACTTTTCCTTTTCACGTGTTTGTAAATAGGTTTATACCACATAAATTTCACGTGAAATCAGAGCTGTTAATTGTGAAAAGAATGCTACGAGATTGTCCATAAAGTACGTTCTGTAGACGGCGGCAATTCGCTTTTGGCGTTCAACGTTATGAAATAAAAATACATTAATTAAAAAGT